ATTTCTTACATTACGAACTGGAAACTCAGGTGTCCAAGGAGTTTATCATCAATGACACAAAATATTTTAGAGGATTTTGCTGCCCTTTCTGTGTTTGCAGTCTTTTTCTTTTGTATTTTGATGAGAGTTTCATCTCATGTTCAGAGCAATACCTCCTACTGAAACCAATGAATGCTTTCATTGTGAGTAAGGCAGGCCCACAGAGAAGCTTCTCTAATATCTTTCTTTTTGGTTGGTTTCATGTTCATACTTACAGGGAAGACTTGCTAATGTGATTTTATGTGACCTACCCAACTTTCTCCTATGTCTTGATGGGGAGCCCCTACAGCCCTTTGCTGTGCCTAGCTTTATTGCAGTACTTTGGAGTCTATTGGACTGCCTCCATTAGAAAAGTCACGTCTGACTTTGTATTCAAAGAGTCATATTTGTTTATTAAAATGTTGCACTCAAGTCAATATTGTGTAAGCATGGCAACCCAGCCAGGATTTTCCTGTAACCTATTGGCATTATGTTCAATAGCATGATTCTGACAACAGATTCATTGCAACGTTTAACACTATGTCAGGTAACATCTCTCCTTTAGGTCAAATCCTGATCCATTTTAGTGCAATTAAATCACGCAGTCTAAAGGGCAAAATTCACCCTGAGACAAGTATATTTCACCCTGTTGGCCCCTTGTGCCTTTTTCTTGAGACTCAGCAGAGTTTGCACAGACACTTGCTTTCCCATTCACCTGGCTTGCTGCCCATATTTGCTGTTCCATTCAACCATGTACAGATGTGTCCGACTGTTCCCAACATCATGGGGTTTCTATACGTTGTAGGAGGAAGTCATGGACACTTCTTCAATTGTATGACAACCAAACACGCAACCCCACGACTAATATTTGGCTCCGTTTGGTTAAGATGAATGGCATCTTAAAAAGTTCCATCATGTACAGTAATCATTATAACCGTGTGGACAGCCCCTTCCTTAGCTTCTTTAGTCATGACTTTTGCCCTTTTTTCTTGATTGATAAGCGACAGCTTTGCATTCTGGACCTTGAAATATATATTTACAGTAGTCTAAGAAATTTGTCCTTAATCAAAGGAGGCTTGACTTGCCAGCACATCTTTAGAATATTATTGAGTAACTCATTAAAATGTTAATAGCTTCTGTCAGGATTTATTGATCCTGATGTCAGCTTTTCTCAGAATAAGAAATAAAGCTGATTTTTATCTTATCTTCAGACCATCCTGAGTGATCAGTACTTAAATAGAATAATGAGAAGTGCTTGAGTAGAATAATCAGCATCTAGCACATGTATCAGTTCTGAATACAGACAGAGCCCTCCAGATATATGAGTGTATTTTATGTGGTGTGTGAAATAATATGTAACATAAGGAAAATGAAGAAGACACTTTATCTGGATGATTTTGACAAATAGTTTTTTCTGCTGAAGCAAATAGAGGGAATACAATCACAACAAATATTTTCTCTTGGATGAAAATATTTTTTTTTAAACAGCTTAGTAAAATAAAAGTATGAGTGCCCTTGTTCCTTGCATCCTAAATTACACAAGTTAAATAATGACCAACTTCTATTCCACTGGATTTCTATAAGACAAACATTTGATACAGAATATTTTCTGCTACCGTCACATTGTTTTGGTTATATGTGGAACTGAACAAAAGACTGACTGACCTAGTGAAGGAGAGGGAGGGAAGGGTATTTGTTTTTCAAAGGCAGCTGCTAATCTCAGAATCTTTCCCACCATAAGCAACGTTGTCCAACAAGAGTAAAACAGCAAATCCCATGCTGACCCTAGCAGAGGTAGGATTGTCAAGTGTCAAGATGAATGAAAGAAATGAGAGAAGAATCTGTCTTTTATATCTTGCTTTAAAATGATTAAGTCGACCTTTGTCAGGACACTTATTTTGAGTACGTCAGCAAGTATTTTACAGCATGTTCAGGACTTTTAACAGATGGGTACAATGTTGTGATACTTTGCTAATTTGAAAGGACCCTGAAGACAGTGTATAGAAATCTGTCCCTTAAAGGTTTATTTAAGTAGCAGCCTACAAGGCAATTCCCTCTGAGCCTGGCATGTAAGAACCACTGTGTCCCATGTAAATAAGCTGTCACCTTGTACCTGGAAGGTGATAGGCACTTACTGGCAAAAGGATTGGGCCATTGCAAATGGGCTAAAAAGTCACCTGGCTGCATTTAAGCTGCAGCGTGGTCAGCCTGTGAAAAGGCTACATAATGTAAGTGTCTGCAACAAAAAAGGTTCAGCCTTCTGATACAAGAGATTCTTTTAAATCCTGTGCTCTTATAACTTAGAATTCAAAAAAGACGGTGGGTTATTTAGTAGTTTATTTATAAGATAAGGGCAAGAGCAACTGCCATAAAACTTAAAAAAATAATAATTTTAGGACATCCTGAGAGAAGCTTCTTTCCAAATCAGAATGCCTTGTCTGGATATTAAGTAGAGTCTGCAGTCAAGGAGAATTTATAGGAGTTATAGTTATGAGTGATATTGTTATGGACTTGATCAACTTACCTTTTCATCAGACTAGTCAACAGAATAGGACGATGAAATCTGGCAAAACAGCCAGATGTCATCACATGCTTAGTGAATTTTAATCTGGCATTTACAGTATTTGAGAATTTAATGTGAAAAACGCTAAATGATGCCTAGTTTATGTGACTTGCGGTTCTGATTTTCATTAACACTTTCCTTGTGACAGTTGCCAATAAATCCTGGAATTACTTGCATTCCTTTAAAAGGACGAAGGCAACAGCTGTGAGGATGCAGACAAGAAACATTATTTGGTATATGGTAAACAGCGTGCACTTCTGAAACCTGCTTGAATCGTTAATGTAGCATATTAACTGTTTGTGCATAAAGTACAATCTTAATAACATTTGTTCAGGGTGACACTTATACATTAAGGTCTTCAATATGCAAACACTTAAGCTTATGGGTAATTTTACATTTATGTGTAATCCTGTTCGATATACAATATAAAGTTGCTCACGTAAGTAAGTGACTTTAGGATCAAGGTCAGGGTTTATAGAGTGATTTGAGATTCCTCAGGATAAAAATGCCATCTAAATGTAAAGATACTGTTTGTTAGGCATTAGTGTTTTACAGACAGTAAATTTAATGGGCCTGATTTTCATTTACCTTTACAGTCAGATGAGGGATCTATTTTGGAAAAGTCACCACTGTGGGGGAAGAAAAACAATAGCCAGGAAATTGCTAATGTTAATGTGATGTAAAGTCAAGCAACCATTTCGAATCTCGTTTAAACTTTGATTCAGGAAGGGACTGAAACATGCGCTTAATTTTAATCATGTCAGCAGTCCCAGCAGTCAGTGAGACCACTTAAAATTAGGCGTATTCTGCCTGCATGGAGGCCTCAGTCAACAGAGTACAAAATACATTACCATTTCTCGTCCGAATTGCTTGTGCCCAGTTCTTAATGGATGGATGGTCTTCTCCCAAAACACAATGACAGAATTGATATTTAATGGAGCAGAAAAACTTCTCTGCTGAACTGAGTCAAATGAGATTTCACCGAGGGGAGAGAGAGTCTCATCCTTTGAGAAGCATATATTTTAGAGGGACTAAGACAGAGGCTCAGGCAAAATCCCTGACGTAGGTGCTCTGAGGAATCAAGCGTAGCACTCTTGATGGCTCATACTGTGTACCCAGGCTCCTAACTTAACTGTCTAGGCTGAACACCTAAAGTAAGAGGGCATGAACATTTTCCAGAGAGGTTTATCTGTCTTCTGCTACACCCCAGGGCAACGTGTTGTGTCATATCATTCATCTGTGCCAGCAATAAATAATTGCATCAAAGAATTCACCACAACTGTGCAAAGCCAAAGGCTGCTTCAGAACTGCCTTCCTTTCAATGGCACTATTCAAATTATCTGTATTATTCTTCATTTTAAGAATTAATCTTTCAAGGGAGTTACTTTGAATGTCTACTTAAAACAATACCCCCTTGTGTATTGAATTTAAAAATGAAGTGTACATTCTGGCTTTTTATAGCACATATTTATAAATAAGATGTGGTCACAGTACATATTTTGCACTTTCATTTTTAAATGCTGTATGATCTAGAATTTGATGGGGTTT